CTGTTCGAAATACTTGCGCCGAAAGGTGTTTTCATGAAGTGTGTGAACATCCTTCGTGCTCTATACTCGGAAACTACAAGCCGCATCAAGGTCTAAGGTTGCCTATCGGATAGCCTTCCGACCACAAGTGGCGTTGGTCATGATTGTCCGACTTCCCCGTTTTTGTTCAATTTCGTCGTGGATTCTATCATGGATTGTTACCTTGCGGAATCTCACGATGTAGACGTTGAGGTCCTGACCTGTGAAGATTTAGTTGATCTAGATTATGTGGACGATATCGCCTTGCTTTTCGACGATGTTGCGGCGGCACAATCAACCCTGAATAGCCTGTCTAGAGTGGTCCCATTATTTGGTATGCGCCTTGCACCTTCAAAGTGCAAAGTGTTGCTGCAGGATCACCAGCCACTTGATGACTCCTTGACGCTTGCTAATGAGGAACTCGAGGTGGTTGATCAGTTCACTTATCTTGGCAGCTGCATCAGCAACGATGGGCGCATAGAAACTGACGTTAGCTCACGCATTGCAAAGGCCAAAGCTGGCTTCTTGAACCTGCAGCATTTTTGGCGACAAGAGGGAATTTCCCTCCGTCTGAAAGGCCGGGTATACAAGGCCACAGTGAGGGCGGTTCTACTCTATGGTAGTGAGACTTGGCCCCTTCGATCTGAAGATGTGAAGCGCCTTCATGTCTTTGATCATCGTTGTCTGTGAAGCATTGTTGGTGTCGGATGGCACCAGCATGTCCGCAATGATGATGTGCGTAGGCGAGTACTAGGTGGTGATAATCATGCTAGCTCCCTAGAACAACAGATAGCGCTGAATAAGTTGCGTTGGCTTGGGTACGTGTTATGTATGCCTGGTCACCGCTTACCTAGGAGGGCGTTGTTTAGTCTGCCAGGTGTAGGGTGGTGCAAGGCTCGAGGTGGACAGAAGTTGACTTGGCAGTGGGAAATGAAGTCACTGCCGACCCAACTGGGTGCCGTTGGACCGTCTCGCCTTCCGGGCTGGGGTCCACGTGACTCGCCTTGTGGTTAGCTCGAGACTTTACAGGACATGGGTCGCAGTAGAGGCCAATGGCGCGTCTGCTGCCGTCTCCTAATTGGATTACCTGTTTAAAGTTTGTTTACTGTTGAGTTATCTGCGGGGTAATGGTTATTTATGACGAGGGGCAGTGAAAGCCGCGAGGAAACTGTCTCGCCGATTTCTTCTTTGCAAGGTAGCCAGCTGTTTGTGGCGATATGTTGTCCACCAAGTTGTAGGCGCCTTGACCCTCAATGTTTGCTTAGGGCATTAAGGTTTTCGGGTACGTCTCCTTTCTCCCCGTCTTATTGTTCTTTATTTCATAGGGTTTCATGGTTGTATGGCAGCGTAGCATCAGTTTAAATGTTTCATGTATTGCTGCTGTTGACGAGCGCCACTTGTCGGCAGATATCTGACGGCTCACCGTAGACCCTGACGCGGCCTGTAGTGTTCGAGTATAGAGCACATAGAATGTTCACATACTTCGTGGGAACACCTTTCCGTCAAGTATTTCGAACGGAAGAGATCGATCGATTGAATCGGTCGCACTCTTGAAGTTGAGGAACACAGCTGTTATCCGTCTCCGAAGTACATGTCCCTGTTCTGGCACCTACCGCAGTGTGCATATGTGGTCTATTCAGCCCCGTCGTGGACGGAAACCTCTCTGCTCTTCCCTAATCCGTGATTCCCGTTCCACAGTGAGACGACGAACGAGTATAAAGGTCAATAATTTCGTCCCTATTGGCGTTAGGCTAATATCCCTGTGGTTAGCACACTCGGTACGACTGCCCTTTTTCTATATTGCCACTATAATCGATTCATTTCAGTTGGTTAGGACGGTTTCTTCCTTTCCGACGTGTTCGAATAGGTATGTCAGTGGTTGGCAGAGGACCTCACCTCTATCCTTATATACTGCAGGTAGGAGGGAATCCGGGCCAGCAGCATGAAAACGATTGAGGGTTGTGATCTCGTTTCTGACCTCAGCCTCTGAACGAACCGTCTATAGCTCGTCCTGCATCACCTGAGTATGAAGACGTCCAGAAGCGCGGGGCCAATTGAATTGTTCTTGAAAGTGCCTTGGCCAACGTGCCATACGGCGCTCCTTGTTGTGAATCAGTGCACCCGCACTCTCTCTGATTGTCTCATTGATGCCTGTTTTCTTGGGACCACTGGTGAAGATCAGCTGGAAGCGCTTGCGGTAATCGCCTACTGCTCCCACCTCCTCCATTTCTTGAGCCAGGCTGGTCCAGCAGGCTTGCTTGTCATCACGCAGTCTCCGTCTTTTTCGCGCCTAATGGTCTGCCTGGTTACATTGTGCTCAGAGTCAGCCGGGAGTTTTCTTTTGAATTTTAACTGATTCACCGATCCCTCGGATATCCAGTGATTGGTGCGGTGACGATTGATAGTACCACAGCCAAATGCTCCTGCGTCGTGCATGGCGGCCGAGATCCTATTCCACTGAAGCTCAGTGCCACTAGGACAAAATAACGAAACTTCTGTACACAATGCTTCTTGATGGGCTTGCCTGACCCAGGACTGAGATAATTACTCAGTTGTCAATCGAGGGAGACTTTTACGCCTCCCAGTACAATTCATGGGGAAACGATGGCGTACCAAGGCATCATCAGAGTTGCAACAAGTACTCGAGAACGAGCGGCAATGCAGGATGGAACCACGCCACCTGTAACTTATAGCAGTGTGATCTAGTTTGGTCCATCGCTGGCCAGCTACAGAAGGACGCCAAGTGGCACTTCGGCGTCCACTTTTCCTAAAATCGGTACTGCTGAGAAACAGGCGGTGCTCCGCACACGGTTGTAGCAGACGCTCGCCGTTGTCAGTCCGTCGGAGCTTCTGAAGAGCGCATCCGTTTTCATATCCCCTGCAAGAGCTGCTATCTGAACTAATAACTCCGCATAGCAGTGTTCAATTCGTGGTAGAATGCAACCTTGGCAGTTTCAGAACTGGAGTCATTAACGAAAGCGGCAAACAAACAGCATCTAGTACTACTTCGTGAATCAACCTTCGTTGATGTTGTCAGTGACGAACATGTTACGGGGCACCACCCTTTATCTTTTTCCCCTGTCTCTTTGTATATGAGTACATCTACGTTGGTTTGGTCACCTGCTGCGGTTACCTGGCCATTCCTTGCTGATGGCGTCCTAGTTTTCTTTGGACATTAAAATTTTGTACCCCATTCCACTTCTCTCCAACCTCTTATTCATCATTCCATGGGTCATCATGATTGTGCATCGGCGAAACATCAGTTCTGTTATAATTGTGGGAACGCCGCCTCGATATGGATTGCGTAACGCCTGATAAGATTGTCGCTGGCACGGTTAGAGCACGCCTACGATAATTGCTTGTAACGCTGGCCAATCGAACGGAGTTGCGCTGACTGATGACGTTAGCTTAGCCGGTGAGACGGAAAATTGAGCGAGCGTGTGACCGATCCTAGCCGCAAGTGTTCGGATAGACGCTGACCCCTCGGAACGGGCGCACACGAGAGGGGGGTACGATAGACGCGCGCTAATGACTTAGACGCGAAGGCTGGCCAGCTAACGGCTCACACGCAATTACGTGACCCGACCGACTCCCAACTGAGGCGAAGAGAAAGAAAAGGCAAATGGTCCTCTGTAGGCTCTTTTACGACCAACAAAGGGCGATCACAGCCAGTGCTATGGGTTATTAAGTTTGGGAAAACAGTCACCACGCAGAGGTGGTAGTTTGCAAATGAGCATTGTCGAAAGTTGCGCAGTTGGGGCGCGTCTCGGAGTGGCTGAGTTCTGCTGCGTTGTGGGGAGGAATTGGACCTCAGTTTCCACAGCCATTCTGCCGGGGTTTCTGGCGTGTTTTTGCGGGAATTTTTAACGTGCCCGCAACAAGTTCGAATTGCCGACATCCAGCTTTTGTTGTTGATTGTGTTCACTGTCCACAGCATTAGTCCAACTTTCAGGAGCTGTTAGATTTTAGGACCTTTTCCGGAGTCTCTGCTGCACGCTGCTGAGTGGATTGCTTTTATTCAGGCCTCCATCTGCAGAAAAAGTCAACACTTTTACAGGTTTGACTACTACCATTGTCTGACTAATTGATCTTTAGCTGGCTGGTGTGCTCCTGTTACCATTTTTGTAAACGGGAGAACTAGTAGCTTACTTATACTCGGAGGTTAGGACAACTGTCAGGCGATTTCTGAAATACAATCGTCTACAGACCACTTATTGCTGCGGCCAACTTATGCGGCAGCTCAAGATCGAAAGTTTTAGCAGCCCTCTCCGCGCAAATAAACGGCCAGCCGTTTTTATTCATTTGCATAAGGAAGAAGAAAAGAAATGGCATACTATGCCTATTTATGTCATTAAACTTTATGATGCATCATTAACACTACCGATATTACCTATAACTCTACTTTTGATAAAACCATAGTCAGCGCGAGGGACCGATAGATTGCCGATAAGTGACTGTTTTTTGTCCCCTCCCCCCTGCCGTTTTAGTGAAACATTCGGGACGATTTTCGATTACCCAAAACTTTTCGGTGTAGCCTAACGGCTTCCTTATTGCGTAATTGCGATTTGGGAATCTATTACTGCTCAGTGTGAATGGTATTTACAACCAGAAAAAATGCATTAATGGTATACGTTCAGGCTGCACTAGAAAATATTTTTAGTTGACCGAAATTCACCACAAATGTGTCTCACTAGGTCGATGAGGAGCATATAAAGTGGTCAGTTAAGCTGCTCCAACGATCACTCCGGCAGACAGTTTCCGGTCACTTGTTGTGCAGGCGGGTTCAACCACCTCTCCTTACTTTGTGCATCCTTTTTTCAGTGGCATCCCTTTTCTAGATGTCTGTTGCCTAGTCTTCGGCTTCTACGCCACATGCGCCGCTTGTGTCAGAGTTAGAACGCTCTTTGTACTTAAGCTACTAATACTACCCAATAACTATCGATCCTAGATCTTCCGTTACAAAACTCGTTACATCATTTTTAGGTAGTTTATCGCTGAGGATTATTTTCCACGAACCACTCCATGGGCTTGCGTACAATCTTGAAAAAGCTGAAGCAGAAAGAACGCGAAGTTCGCATTCTCATCCTGTAAGTGATGCTTTCGCACCGACCTCTTTCAATTCTCTCTTCCGTTCCTCTGTCGCAGCTATCTCATGTGTGTAACTTCGTATGTACGGTCGGGTACGCATCTTTCTAGATAGAGAATATATCGGGAAGGGTTTTATGGAAGTTGAGCAACGTTTCGCGTAACAGAAGTGAGCAACGCGCAGAACTAACTCACTGAATAACAGAAATAGTCAACGACTACTGCCTAAATTCAAAATAGGAGGCACAATCTCACAGTATGGCTTCTGGGACCTCAAGTTTCACTCTTGCGAAATAGTACCTCTCACTAATCGGCACTGAGTTATATTGTTGATTATTGAAAGGTATCTGACGTTCTCAAACCAACCGTATTCTGGGACGGTATTTTTATTGGATACTGCGAACATTTTTTACGGTCAGTATCTCACAACTTCACTTGCTTCGATGACCTTTGAAAATGGCATTTTTGTGGTGCTTATATTTTGCACAACGTAGCTGGCATCAATATGCGAGCGTGTAAAAATATCTGTTTTCGTCCACAAATTGGCAATTATCTTGATATCAAACAAGTTGGTCTTTTTCTTGTTGCAGCTGGACTATTCTATCAAAACTGCACGAATACCTGGTCCAATCATTCCCTCTTAGCATCTCCAACAACACTATTCGATAGTGGAGGCCAACGGATGCGAATTTTTCATACTGTTACACCGCAAATAATGCGGCACTTGCCGCCCGTCGACCCCGGCTTTTAAATCCTAGGAGTAACAGGACCTGTTATGATAGCCAATGCAAACCACCCCTTCACGTCACAATGGTTTTCATACAGCTACCGCATGGTGCACTTTTTAATTTTAGTGTGGAAACTAACGTAGCTTCAGTAAAATGTACGCATGACCTTATGCAACGATTCACTTTTACCCTGGTAAAGTAGACTACTCCCCTGAACTATTCTGCTGCAGACAATTAATATGGTTCCCTCTGAACTATCTCGACGTATTCCGTATTTTCGTTTCGAGGACGTGACATCTCAACGTCTTGTGCTTGCGTAAGAGTTACTCGCGTGTTTCAATGGAACAGTGGTTTTATACGATTAAAAATCTAAAGCCTAACAGGTCTCGAGGGATGGCCAGATTGAATGTTGCAAAGTACGCAAATGTGTCAGCAAAACTTCCTTCAGACCGGTGGGCTTACCAAGTTATACGTGTTAACAACTGTGAACCCACTGTAACTCTCTAAGGAATGACAACAAATGCGAATACGGAATTCTGAGAATATGCAGCGAGTACAGATGTCTCTGTGTACCTACATCTAATATCTTTTAAGCAAATCTACCTATTATTGTTATGGTGATTATTCTCGAAATCTCAAGTCAGCAAAGTGCGAGTCCAGGAGTTTCTTAAACTCCGACACCGACTTTGCTTCGACTATGTCTGCAGGCAGGTTGTTCCAAATATTCACCACCCTCCGCTCGAAGCAGAGTTGGTGAGCGACCCGCTTCAAATCCGGTACAACAAACTTACACCGGTGTCCTCGTGTGCTGCTTTGTGTGCGCAGATGAAGCAGCGGCCTCAACATGAGGTAATCTCCCAAATGTACTATCCGGTGCGCCATGATGAGGTCAACCCGCATTCGATGATAAGACTGGGTGTACAACCCTAGTCTCTTGCACCGGTCTTCATATTGCACACCTCGTAAACCAGAGATGAGCCTTGTGGCAACATGTTGTATCCGCTCAATCTTTTGCACCTCGCCCTGGGTGAGCGCACAGTCGGGTGAGCTGTACTCTAGCATTGGTCTGATAATAGAAGTGAAGAGGCGGGTGGCAACCTCTTTGGACCAAATGCAGAAGCTGCGTTTTAGCGCCCAGAGCATGCACATTCCGTTTTGGTAAAGCATGTTCGTGTTTTCAACGGATTTCAAATCGCAACGTGAGAGCTCGCTGAGATCTTTCACGGATGGTGATGGGTGTAACTGTTGGCCGGCCAGATTGTAGACTCGGTCATTAACACCCTTGCCCAGTCTCATAAATATCGACTTGACTGGGTTGATTAAAAGGTTGACCTTTACTGACCACATGGAGAGGCGTTCAAGGTCACACTGAAGCAGTTCGCAGTCGTCAGGCGCCTCAATTACCATCCGTGGCCATCTGCAAACAATGCACAAGGTGAACTGAGAAGCTGAGGCAACTCCTTGATGTGGATCAGGAACAAAATAGGCCCAAGAAGTGCCCTGCGGGATGCCACTGGTCGAGGGATACCACTCGGTCAGGTGGTTGTCCACCTGCACCCTTCACATCCGACCAACAAGGAAGTCACTGATCCACTGGTGCAGTGAGCCACCAACACCGCACATTGTCAGCTTCCGTGGGAGGATCTCATGGTTCACTTTGTCAAACGCCTTACTGAATTCGATGTAAATGACGTCAACCGACTTCCCTTGTAATCATTCGTGCCTCGAAAGCAGCAGCTTGTGATACATGACCGATCTTTAATAAAACCGTGCTGCTCGGGCGTCAACATGCTTTTCGACTTGAGATGCTGCAGAAGGCCATGCTTCATGATCTTCTCGAGTGCCTCAGTCAAAACAGAGGACAGGCATATCGGCCGGTATTTGTCCACCTTGCTCGGATCACCGCCTTTCGGAACCGGTTTCACCACTGAGCATTTCCTGTCGCTCGGCTATGAACCGGCAGACATCGACCTGTTGAATAGCTCAGTCACCGAAGGCGAGATGATGGCTGATAGCGATTTGAGGCTCAGCGGATGGAGCCCATCTGGTCCGGCAGGCTTGGTACCGTCAAGACTGGCGACCAATTTGCGCACATTCTAAACACTGCAATCCAGGCTGGCCAGCTCGGTAGGGGCGATATGCGTCCAACTCGGTACGAATGCCTGGTTATCTCCAAAAATGGAAGTGAAGTGCACCGCCAATGCGGAAGCACGCTCAATACTGAAAACTAGGGACTGTCTGTCCGAGCCCGCTAACACAGGCACATCATCTGTCGGCTTCAGGCGTCACTTCATATATGCGAAGATCCTCTTGGGAACTGTTTTTGCTGCGGTTGCAAGCTGCTCCTCGAAACATCGGCGTTTGTTCGTTTCCGCGTAGGTTTTATCTGTACTGCTAACTGACAGAACGGCGCACTTCAATATCATTAGACGCCGCATGGATATTTCTGCGGCGGTTAAATGGATCCAAGGGGCACGTGGAGATCCAGGCCTTCCTAGGGTCTTAAAAAGACCACAGACTAACTGCCCGAAAGAGATCACAGTGCTCTACATGAACATCCAGTGTTCCTCAATATCTTGCAGTGGAATCGAGCGCGCGATAATGCGCGTCGGCTGATTGATGTGCTGTGTGGTCCCAGTTTCAAATATCGTCTGCGCGAAATTCCTTTCGACTTCGCAATGGCCGGGGAGAATCTTGACCTCAGGACACCGTATTCAAGGAAGGTTGAAATCGCCCATGAGCAGAAATTGCGGGCGACTCATGTAATTGCGCACATGAGACAACAAGTCCAACCTGCGGCTCAGTGGACTGCGATACACAACACTCACGGGGAGTTCGCCGCGTCTCAGGCGGATCGAACACCATAGCTGCTCACACAGGCCATCACAGCTTCTGTAGATGCTCAACAGTCTCCCACAAAAAAGACCATATGTATAGCAACACACCACCGCGGTCATTTGATAGCCTATCACAGCGGAAACAAGAATATCCGCTGATTTCGACTTCTTGCGCGGTTATCTCTGAACTTAACCAAGTTTCAGCTAGGCCCAATACGTCTGGTCGCCGAGAGGCAACAAAGTGGCAAACGTCGTCACGTTTGCTTATTAGACTGAAAACATTCGTAAAGGCTACACGCAGGTCGCTGTAGGAACCGTCGGGCGTGCGTGAAGTATTAGCGACCTGTTCATCCGAATTCGGGAAGACACCTGGGTAACTATTCGAAAATTTACAAAGCGGATATTTATTTTCCCGCCTTCAGTGCGCCGATTTAGATTAATCACGGCAGATTTGAGTTTTTCTCGGTCTGCTGGATCCATGTCTGCGCGCACATGGATCTTCAAACCCTTAAGTCTACCGAGGCGCGATAATATCAACCTCGGACCAGCTTGGTCGACAAAAGTGACTCTCATGGGTCGAACTTTTCCCTCAGTTTTTTCCCAGACGTGCAATTTGCTTCAGCGACGTCGAGCAGTCTATCAACCAGACTCTCCAGAAACTCGACATCGTATTCATAGCGAACCTGAGGGTTCGAATCCAACGATTCAGGTGCGTGGAAGACCAAGTTGCGACGCCTCAGGTCGCTGGACGTAGTTTTCGGTTTCTTTGGTCTTTGCCTTTTCCAGAGATCGTCACTACCTGGCTTGTCACACATTCGAGTTGCAGTGTCTGTCGAGGATGTAACAGGTGGTAAAGAGGGGCTACTCGGCGATCTAGGGACTCGCTCAGCGGAGCTGGTGGTAGGCGTGCAAAGTGCTTGTGTCTGTGCCTTTTACACAGAACTTACAGAGCTGCAGGCCTTGGAACGCTTCGCTTTACCAGTCTGTTGATTAGGTTTCCCAGGGGACTTGGGCTGCAGTTTGCACTGGCACTCCTCGTGTTGCATCGTGTTGAATCTCGCGGATAATGTGAAACTGGTCCACAGAAAGACCAATACATGAAATGTGAAAGTTCACCTGGCAAACGCCACATGGAACAGCATTTGCACGACGCCCAACGATCTTAGAGCAACTTCCGCAAGGAGGCTGCTTCACCTTGTAAACACCTGCAGGAGGTATGCATGCCTTAGTAACATTGCATTAGCAACTTACACTTGAACTAAGTCTTTTTAATGTGGATAAAATTCATTCCACTTTATTTTTTTGTTCTGCTAACCCGATAATCTCCTAACTTGCACACGTCGCTCATGCTGATTGTGGTAATTTTGCGTAACTTTATCACGTGGTACTTTTTAAATAACTTTCGGACATTTTATACTTATCGCGGATTCGCTTCTA